CAAGTCTTGCATTGCTGTTCTCGCTCCCGTTGGTCTGGGCCGTGTGTGCATCCTCAGCGGGGGGGATCTTCGGGGCCGAGGTGGGGCAGGCAAGTCTTGTCGCTGGACGTCGCCGTGCTTTTACCTGTGTCGCAGGCAGCTGCGGTGAGGGAGCTTCCAGGCAGTGGCCGCGTTCTGTATGTCGTGATCCTCGGCGCCCACGCGAGGTGCAGCGCTTGATGCGCGGCCAGGGCTGCCTGTGCCAGGTGAGGACGGACTTCCGCAAGCGGGGCCCGCTGCGTTGTCTGCCGTTTCATGCGGGCCTTCTCGGGTGGGGAGTCCAGCCGTGGTCTGTCAGCGGAGCAGTTGCGACTCACCTGGGGGAGGATCTGCCGAGCTGTCTTGGCTACGCGGGCTCTGGCTGCGGGGGCGATTGGCCACGTCGGTGGGGCGGCTCTCCCATGCGCCTGGGGCGAGGCGACGAGGTTCAAAAGAAGGTGGTCTACGACGTCTAGGATCGGCGCGGTCGACTGGGGGCGCGGGGGGGCGTCGGCGACGGCAGAGCGGTGCTTCGCCGCGCGCGGGGGTCCGACAGCTTGGGCTTCGTAGCTGGGGGAGGCGCGGTTGCGCGACGGACTTCGTCGCCTGCGACGGTCTTCGAGACGGGCGACTTCTGCGGATTGGTTGCGAGAGAGGTCTCGCTGCCCCCGCCAGGGGCCGCGGGGCTGCCTTTGCGAATCTCTATCAGCGGCGGCGGCCCCCTGCTCGGCCGAGTGCGAGGGTCGCGCGTTGGAGGGCCCAGAGGAGTTGGGCTGGGATTAGCGCGAGAGCACGAAGAGCTATTCGGACCCAGGTTGGACAGGCAGGACGAACAGGCGGACGATCGCGATGAGAATGGCGCTGGTGGGGTGATTGGTTGCGCCGCGGAGATGAAGCGCGCCGCGGGCCTCTTCTGCGTTGCGACGTGCGTGGGCGACGACGGTGGGAAGTGGCGACGTCTCGGCTTTGGGGTACGCGGCGGGTGAACATTTTCTTTCGGCGGCCCTATTGCGCGCGTCTTGGGTTGCCCGCGGTGCCCTCGGAGCTCGAGCTCGCGGAAAGCGTGCTTGGGGGTCGTGTCCTGGCGAGCTTCCAGGGGGGCGTGCCCAATTGGTTCTACGCGCTGCGGTGGGGCGAAGTCTTGGCGCGGTTCCTCGTGCCCGAGGGGGCGGCGCTCTTTGAACTCTGGTCTTCCGCCTCCGGGCAAGACTGCAGCGGGGGTCGGGTTGGTGGCGCCCGTGATGGGGGTTGCCTGGGTCGTTTCGTTCGCTCCGTTTACGTTGGTGGATCGCTCCAGGTCGATGGGGGGTCTGGCTACCGAGCAGATCACCCGGGTACAGGCCTGCCCGAGCGTAGCCGCGGCGGAGCTCCTCCTGCAGCTGTGCGTCGGCGACTATATTGGCGCGGGGCTCGTGACGGGCGGGAGGAGGGCGCGGGCTCGGGCGCGAGGAAGGGCCGGGTGCGCGAGTCCCTGGATGGGCGGGGGCTTGCCGCGCGCTAGGAGGAGGCGTGGGGGCGGTCTTCGACGGGGGCTGGGCCCGTCGATTACGGGTCGCCCTTGCGCCCTGAGGATATTCCCCGACAAGGTGAAGAGCCGGGTGATTTGCGCGGGGGCGGCGTTGATCCAGCGTGCGGTTCGACCTGTGGAGCTGGCGGCGCTGGCGGGGTGCTGGGTCTGTGGCATGTTGGCGCGCAGGTCCGCGTTTGCGATCCTGGGCGCGCGCTGCCGGCGGGCCGGGGCCTGCCGGGGGGGCCGGGCGGGGGGCCGCCAGGTCATGGCCAGCGGGGTCAGGGGGGAGCTATGGTCGCTGTCGTCGCCTGCCATTTTTTCGGGTGGAAGCTGGAGGCGACGAGGGCTTCGGAGCGGTGGCGACGATGTCGGGCGCGCGCGAGATCAGACGCGGCTGGCGTGGAGCGCGGGTCAAGTGTTGCAGGTCAGGCTGGGGGAGGTGCACGTCGACGTCGGGCTCGAAATCGCGGGGGCTGGAAGGGGCATCCGAAGGAGGGGCGTCCTGGGGTGGTGGGGCGCAGCCACAGTGTGCTGGACCTCGAGGGGGTCGTCGGGTCCCTCGTGACGACCCGGGGGGAGGCCCTGCCCGTGGAGGAGCTGATCGAGGTGGATGTGGTCGAAAAGCTGTTTGGCCGCCTGAGGGGCGCTGGTGCTGCGCCGTTCGCGTGACCCTGTTCGTGGGCACCTTCCTGGTCGAGAGTTGCCGAGACTGGAGATCGCCCCGGGGGTTCGAGGGCCGCGGCGAGGGGGCGGTCCAGAAGATAGTGGGAAATACTGAGCGCAGGTGGGCCGCTTGGCTCCTCGGGAATGCCTGGGGTTCGTCATGCTGGGGCCTGCCGCGCAGGGCGGCTTGGTGTGGGGCTCCTGGGGGAGCTTGCGTGGTTCGGAGGGGATCAACGCCCTGGTGCTAGAAGCCTTGGTGGTGGTCGCCAACCTGCCGCGGCTGGGGGGGGGGCGAGCACCTGGGGGCAGTTTTGGATGCCATGGATTTTGGCGAGCTACGTGGGCTAGTTCACTCGCCGCTGTGGCGAGATGCTGGAGCTGATCGACTACCGGCGGGGAGAGTACCGCGGGGTGCTCAGGGGCGCTTGCGACGGGGGCGGCTGCGAGTCGAGGGCGCGCGAGGGGTGGTGATGCCGATCGGGGCGGGCTGGGTGGACGAGGAGGTGGTGCGAGCTGGTCCGTGGGCGATTTGGGGAGGAGGGTCGCAGCGACGTGTTGGAGCTCAGGTGCGTGGTCAGCGTGCTGCGCCACTTGGCACGGTCGTCGCGTTGCTGACGGGAGTTCGTCGTGATCGTGACCGACTTGGCGGTATCCGTGGGGCTGCTGCAGAGGGGGGTCATCGGCTACGGCGTTGTTGAGACTGGCTCGAGTGGCGTGTGACGTCGCGCTGATCCTAGGCATCGGGAGCTTGTGCCGCTGGGTGCCAAACCTGCGTGGAATGTGGCAGACGGACCGAGTCGTGCATTCGACGTCCGTGCAGCGGAGGAGACGAAGGTCACTCGCGGGATGGGGTTGCTGCTCGAGTCGGTCAGGTTGTTTCTGAAGCCGGTGGTTCGGATTGTACGGCGAGGCGCCGCGGTGCAATTTCGCGGGTGATCTTCGCGCTGGTGACGTGGCGGATTGTGGAGGGAGCGCGACAGAGTGAGCGACCGCTGCCTCTGTTGAAGCGCGGATCTCGCCCTTGGGAGCAGGCCGAGACGGGCGCGCCGCGCTGGAACAACCGCTCGGTGGTCCACCTGGTGGATGGACCACGAACGTCGGCTGCGAGCGGGAGGCGCGCGCCTTCGTCGACTGCGAAGAGGGGCGATGCGACTTTCGGATCGACTGCGGAGACGTGAGCGACATGTGCTATTTACGAGGACAGCTAGATGAGAGCGTCGCTAGCGCGCAATGGGCCCACGCGCATATTCGAGGATCATCATGGGGGGTTGCCGACAGTAGTTCGTGCGTCGAAGCCGCGGGGAAGAATGTGGCCTAGAGGTGATGTTCACCCAATCCCGCCCCTGGCGATGGCTATTATTGTGATGGGGATGCTGCGAGCAGGCCATCTACTGGGGGTGGCTGCATGCGCGGTGCAGTTGGGCGGCTGGCTCCGCGAGCAAGATTGGCAGATATTGGAGTGCGGCGCGCCGGTCTCGCGCGGGGTGAGGCAGTGCGCCTGCGTCTCGGTGGCGGCGCCGTCGGACGGGAGACGAAGACGGGCGCCCACAAAGAGGCCGTGCTGGCATGGGGGGTGTCTCGGCTCATCATGTAGGCGCTGGTGTGCCCGAGGGCCGTGTATCTCCTTCCAGTCAGGCTGCTTTAAGGCAGCTGTGATGCTAGTTTTTTGAAGCAGACGGCCCGTGGGAAGATGGGGTCGCCGCGTGGCATGCGCCGCGCGGCGGCCGCGAAAGTTGCGGCCGTGGATGGGGGCCTCGAGGCGGAGCGCCGCCAGGTCAGATGGGCCACCGCCTCAGCCTTTCAACGATGTGCAAAGTGCCGCGTGCTCGTTGAAAAGTTGTCGGAGCTGGGCGGTCGGCAGATCGGCTAAGGCACCGCCTTTTGGCGTGTGCCAGCGCGGGCAGTGCGGGGGCTTCGCCTCGCCGGAACGCCATCGCTCGTACCTCGCTCCATCCGTCACTTCGCGATGTGCTTCACCTGAGAGGTGGGGCACCACTGACTTGCGAGCATTAGAGCATGCCAAGAGCGATCGCGGGCGTCGCCGCTCGCTGGAGTTTGGCCTTCAGACCGCGCGGGCGACGGAAACGCGAGAGCTGAGCCTTCGTGGCCATGGCCGAATGCGCCACCTCTTGGTGCTTCATCGCGCGTCCAACTCGGACTTCCATGCCAAGGGCGGACATGCTGGTGGCCATCTGGCAGCCGTGCCTCTTGACTCTCAAGGGTGACGGCGCGGCAATAACAATAGCGGAGGGAATCGCCTTAGATTTGGTGATTGCTTTTGGTGCCCCAAGGCTCGCAAGGTGCTGGCCGTCAAGTCTAACTCAGAAGGGGAAAAAACACACAGACACAATTAATCGTCGACCCCCAGGAAAATATGGGAAAACATGGGAAGTGGTGGGGAAGACAGAAACTTAGAAAACATGGGAAAATATGGGGTATATTTTTATTTGTGTGTATTCATTTGTGTGTCCTGGGGCCCCTTTACCAACGTCTCCGCAGTCGCGTGCACGGCCGTCGCGCGGTGCATATCGAGATGTGCACCGCGAGGGTGCCACGGGCCGAGCCTCTCCTAGGAGGGATAAGGAGGAGGAGCAGGAGCCAGAGGAGGGGGAGGAGGATGAGGGGGAGGAGGAGGAGGAGGAGGAGGAGGAGGAGGAGGAGGAGGAGGAGGAGGAGGAGGAGGAGGAGGAGGAGGAGGGAGGAGGGGAGGAGGAGGAGGAGGAGGAGCAGGAGTCAGAGAAGGAGGGCGGGGAAGGAGGAGTGCGGTGGGAGGAGGCGCAGGAAGGAGGGGACGGAGGAGGAACATGAGTTTGGTCCCTCCGCGACTTGCTCCTCCCCTCGGGCTCCCTCCCTTGCCTCGTCCTCGCTGCTCTCCTCCATCGTCGTCCCCTCGTGGGGCGGCCTTGCTGGGAGGCCTCGGCGCTTGCTGGGCCGCGGGGGCGCGTGCGCGAGACGCCGATGGTCGAACACGCTTCCGTGCGGCCGAGTTTTCCTGTTTTGGGTGGAGTTTTTCTCGTCCGCGTGCCGTGAGAGTTGCCGCGGCGAGGGCAGCAAAAAACCCGTCGTCACATCCTTTCGTCCCCCCCTATCCTTTGCTCTCTTTCCTCGTCGTTGCCCAGCCGCAGAGCCTTGGAATTCGAGTCTTCGCTGACCATGTTTGCCTTGGTCAGCCACGCGCAGAAGGGGTGGTGGGGGGCGGGGGGAAGGCTTCTTAGAAGCAACCCTGCTTTTTAGAAGGCGCGGGCCTTATCTATACATGTAAGGCCGGCGCCTTCTAAGAAGCAACCTCCTTCTAAGAAACCCTCCCCCGTCCCTCCACCCCCTTCTGCGCGCCACCAAGTTGGACAGGGTCTTCCGCGACGACGAGGCGTTCGTCGCTCACCGCGTCGCGAAGGTCGTGTGTGCCAGCCTCTGATCTGGGGGCCGAGCGCGGCCGCCCTTTCCGCCTTGGGGCGATTGGCGTCTGCCCCTGCCCTCCCCGACGCCCGTGAGCGCTGCGCCGCCCGTTTTCTTCTGGTTCCTGGGTTTGTCCTGGGTCTCCTTCTGGGCCCTGGGTTTTCTTTTGGGTCTTGGGTTTTCTTTTGGGTCCTGGGTCTTTGGTGGGGTCCTGGGGTAAGTTCGTGCCTTCGAACCCCTTGTCGTGTGCTTGAAGGCGGTGTTTGTTTGTTTGTGTGTGTGTGTGTGTGTGTGTGTGTGTGTGCGTGTGTGTTCTACCTCCTCGGAGCAGACGCGATCTACTTTTGGCAGTCACAACGCTGGGGTTTCGGTGGGTCGGCCCCGTGGGACCACCTCGGGCCTTCCCTTCTCCGCTCCTGTCTTCCGTGTTCCGTCCTCTGAAGATCGAGGCGGGGATGAGGTTTAATTTCCGCGTTCTGCGCAGGATGTGTGATTCCCGAGGCGGGAGAGTAAAACGATGTTCGCGGTCGCTGCCTGCGCTCCGTCTTGTTCTTTGCTTGCAGATTGTAAACTGTTCAAGTGAGTATTTATACACTGGCCGAACTCGGCCGCCTTCGCAAGCGAGCTGAGACCGTTGCTTAACGAGGGTTTGAGTCTGGCCCAACGGCTGTTCCATTTCTATACTCCTATAACGGTTCACCACCACTGCTCGTGATTGGCCGCCGCAAACCGACCAATGTTTTGTAACGTTCAGTAGCGATATGGTCAGGTTTCAAGCTGGCCACACCAGCTGGAAATGATCTGGCGCCAACATTGGCGGGTGGCGGACTGCGTAGTGGGAAACATATTTCAAAATGTGTACGTGGAAATCGGCATTGCGATTCGGCCCCGCGATAGTTTATACGCTCCCATGGCACGGCTGCGGCAATCATATGCAAATGGAACGAAATCTATCGGGAGTGGGGTCTTTTCTGTACATCAATGGAATCAATGAGCCAACGCGGCCAACACATAACTTGAGTTCGCTGTTTTGAGATAGTGCTTTTACATATCGTGCTGACGACATATGGCCGTATTGTTTATTTTCAACTCGAAATGTCCCGGCGATTTGAAATCGTCTTGGTGTGCAAGTACGCCTTTGGCGGATATTTGAGCAGAGTAAAGCGGGGCAGCAGGCAAAGCGTTCGCAGGACTAGTTTCGCCGCGCAATGGGGGGGCGGGGGGCCTTTCTGCGCGGGGGGGGGGTCGTTTCCTAAGAAAACGAGTGCCGTTCTTGGTTTTTAGTTTTTTTTGGGGTTTATTCGGCCGCTGATTCACTTCACGCAATGGCGCGAAGACGCTCGTGCTACAGTTTTTGTGTTCGTCGAGTCGCACCGCAACACCCGTTTTATCATGACATGCTATACATTGTCGTCTTCGTTGATTTTTCAGCTTCGACCGTTGAGTTTGCATAAGCATCATATAAACAGCAGTATGCCGTCTAAATGGCCCTCCCTTCCCCCGCCAGTGGCCGCACACGTGTTCCTCGTCAACGCTCCTCCGTCGTCCTCTGGCGCATTCGTCTTTCCTCCTCGTCATCTCTCCTCTCCTCGCCCGTGCCCTCCCACGTCACGTTTCGTCACGTCCTCCATCGTCCTTGTCATCGCTTCTCCGCCCAGCCTCCTTCCTCCACGCATTCAAAACGCGCGTCCGAAGTGTCCAGTCAAGCGCACTGCGTCGGCGGCCGAAAGGGGGATGAACAGGAGGGCGCAACTCCAACGCAGAAAGGATGGGGATGAGCAGTGCGAGCCAATAATCGGCTCTCGCCAAAAGAGTCGGCCAGGTCGGGCAGTCTTTGAAGCCCCTTCGGCGAGGAGGTTGCAAAGGGTGTGAAGCAGTTCGAAGCTCCAGCCCGTTCGGCAGAAAGATCATGAGGATAAGCTCGCACCCCCCACGTAGTCGTCGTCGTCGTCGTCGTCGTCGTCGTCGTCGTCGTCGTCGTCGTCGTCGTCGTCGTCGTCGTCGTCGTCGTCGTCGTCGTTGCCGCCGTCACCGCCGCCGTTGTCGTCGCCGCCGCCGCCGCCGCCGTCGTCGTCGCCGCCGCCGCCGCCGCCGCCTCAGCGGCGCCCGTGTCCACAGCCAGCGGCTGAAGATTTTCAAGCCTCGCTTGCGACATTTCGCCACCGCTTTGCGGCGCATTCCAAATCTGGGGGACCTCAGCTGTCCGTTTGCACTGCTCCTGGCCAGGCCCATCCCGTGCATGGCATCGGTGCGTGCGCTCTTGCGGCCTGGCCGGGGGGCACACACACCGAAGGCCGCGGAAGGGCTCCGAATGCCGCCGATTGCTTCTCCCTCCTCCCTCCTCCCTCCTCCCTCCCCCCTCCCCCCTCCTCCCCCTCCTCCCCCCTCCCTCCTCCTCCTCCTCCTCCTCCTCCTCCTCCTCCTCCTCCTCCTCCTCCTCCTCCTCTTCCGTAACCATTTTGGGTCAAGGTTTTGCTTTCCCCGGTGGAAGAAATGGATACCGCTAGTCCGCGGCCAGCTATCATTTCTTTGCCAGTACGGCACGGGGTCCCTGGAGGCCCAGTCTTGAATTCCAGATAGTCACGAAGAGTGATTTCAGTCCTGGTGTTCAATGTCTAATGACGGCCCGAAGATTTTACGACATGCCCAGCGGCGTAGAGTGCAAGCAAAAGATCGGTGCTGCCGTCATTGCATCCACCCAGTCACGCAGGCGTCATGGTGGAGTCGGTCGACGTTCACTTTGTGCTCGAAGTGCGGAGTTGCCAAAGCCACGGCGTTCCTCAAGCCCCGTCCGCCGCTGTCGTTTTGTACAAAGGCAGCAGGGAGCAAATGGAGTGTCATACAGAGGGGAGGAGCCAAGCAAGGCTCAGGAGGCGAGCCACGGTGACATGCATCACGCCTGGCGCAGCTCGAGAAGCAACCGGAGGAGGCCAATGCTCGCCTTGCAGCGAGTCAGCCGCCGACAGATGATATGCAGGTCGATGAGGGTCTTTGCCGCCCGTGCCATTTCGACGCAGAAGCGGGCCAGATTCGAAGAGATCGATAAGTCGTTGTGAACCATTGAGGGGCTCAAAAATGAAGATTTTGTCGCAGTTCGGACATCCGTGCAGGCTGGGCGCAGCCGATTGCGAGCAGAACTGGAGGATGCCAAACCTGTGCCTGTGAGGCTTCGCAGTCTCGCCTTCTAGAGCAGCAAGCTGCAGCAACGAAACGACAAGCACATGGAGGCTCCGGAGGCAACGAGAGGGGTGCGAGCCAACGCGCGGGAGGCTATCGAGGAAGAGGAGCGTAAGATCGCAGAGGTGGAGAAGCAGATCCTGGAGATTTCCGAGGAGCAGACCCGCCTGGCCAGCCGCATCCCGCGGCCGCAGGCGGCGGCGGACTTTTAGGGCATGGTGTCATCTCTGGGCGTCACCGTCAGCAAACCGGGGGATATCCTCACGGCGCTAGGCGGCTCGGGCGCCAGAGCTGTCGAGCTCGGCCCAATGCTGGGAGAGGTCCGCGCGTTCGAGCGCGACGGGGAGGCCAGGCGGGCTAAGGGGGCCGAGGCCGAGGAGCGCGAGAGAGCAGGCCCTGCCGCTGGGGCAGCCGAGCCTCGGCCAGTGCCTGGAGGGGCCGCGCCAGCTGCAGCGGCCGCCGGCGCGAGTCACGACTTGCCAGTGCCTGATGGGGGGGGCGAAGACCTGGGGGATCTTCGAGACTTCGTCAATAATGCTGGAGTCGACGCCGCAGAAGATGAAGGTGAATTGCGAGGCCAGGTCCGCGAGCTCGTGGAGAACGTGCAAGGCTGGTGCGCGGCCGAACGCATCAAGGCGGAGGTCGAGCGCCAGTAGTGGGATCTGCTGGGCGACGACGATGATCCGATGGGTACCGCGTTGGACCTGCTGTCCTACCGTGCGGGCGACTTCGACCAGAGGCGCGGCGGCTGGGACAATCGACGCCAACCCCTCGTTCGGCCGAGGGGTCGGCAAGGAGCCCGTGGCAGCTCTCAACTCGCCTGGCCGTGGTTCGCGGGGCCCATCAACAGTCGGGGGCCTCGAGCTCAGAGCCGAGGCTCGCGGGCCTCCGTGAGGAGGGTGGTCGCAGCCCCCGCTGCGAGGTCGCCTGGCTGCGTTCGGAGCGCTGCAGTCGGGGGCGGCGCAAGGGCGCGTGCCGTTCGCGGGGCCTCCGCGAGGGGGATGGTGCATTGCCCCCCTGCTGCGGCAGAGAGCCCTCTGCCAGGAGTGGAGGTGGCCGCGCAGGCTGCGCGAGGTCCGAGCCGAGCGCAGTCTGACGGCGAGGCTGATGGGCGCTCGTGCTTTGAGCAGCTGTCGACGCCAGGAGCGCAAGCTGCAGGTGGCTTGGTGTTCGGCGCTTCGACTGCAGAGAAGGGCGCGGTTGCCGCCATCAATTGCTCTGAGGAGAAGCAGATGCGCGACTGCTTGGATGCCTGTGCGCACTCGGTCGTTCTTTTCAGGGGCGCCATGTCCCAGGGCGTCGCCTCGCGGATGTGGCGCGTGCAGTTGGCGATCTAGGTTGGAGGGGCATCTGGTCGAAAGATCATTTGACGGGCCAAGGTTAGTGCGCGCGAGCCGGCTTGGCCATCCTTTCTCCTAGCCATATTTGGATCACCAAGCCGCCGTTGTTGCTCGACCCAGCATTTGCGTCTGCCAGAGCCCTAGCCGCCCAGGTGCGCTGGGGAATGCCAGGGGGATTTGTGGATATCAGCTTCTATATATATACAAATATAGTCGTCAACGGAGGATGGTCAGAGCGGAATGTTAGCATGCTGGAGGAGCTATGCACATAATTTTCCCGCCTGAACCGCGCTTGCCACGACTGGGATTGGGTGGTCGGCGGAGATTTTAATGTGGAGGTGGGGGGGCTTGTTTTTGGCGCGCGGGGTCGGGGGAGTTCCGGGGCCCCAGCGGCCGCTGCCCGCGGGCAGTCTCCCCCAGGACGGCGCATTGACTGCTTCGTCGTGGCGCAGCAGTTAGTAGCGCGGTTCTCCCCAGCCAGCGCGCGAGAGAATGTTGCCACGTGCCCTCGCCTCCCCGTGAGCATGAGCATATTTGGTAAGGGTTTGCCTGCGTGGGCGCGCGAGCTGAGAATGCCTGGGGCCGCCCCGCGTCGGCCGCCGCCAGGGTGCCCGCTGTTCCCGATCAACTGGATGGGGTCTCTAGGTTGATCAGCGAGGCTAGTG